CGCCTTGCGCCCAATGTCAGCTGGGATTGGCTCCAGCCCCCCCCACGACCCTGTACGCAGGATAAGCGGTTGACGATGGATGGATAGATGGATGGATGGAGTAGTGTTTACAAAACCACACCATGCATATAAAAATGTCAGTACCAATGTAAAATAAAAATAAACAATATTCCTGACATCAAAGTAAAGATGAAGTAGAAAGGGCCCTATTAGATTTCAGGAAATGGTATGAAATGTTAATGTGAAAGACATATAGTCAATCAAAATCCAAATATATCTCAGATTGACAATGCAATATAAAAAATCATTATCACTATATTGCATACTGTAGACACACAAGCAAACAACACACAGACACACACACCTCGAAAGATTTGTCTCACTCTTACCCCTTCCATCCTCATCCTTTCCCCCATTAATGTTTCCTTCTCAGATTATTTCCCACACTTTTTTTTAATCTGGTATCTTATTTCCTCTACCTGCAGCTCTCGGTGTGCATCAGTCCCTGTGAGCGTCTCCCTTAGCAGTCAGCCTTGGCAGCAGCTGCAGCACTACAGCAGGTCAGTCACAGTGAACCAGTGTCAAATACTGTCAGCAATCTTTACATCTTTTCATGGTCCCATAATTGTTTAATTAGCTAATATATATCCTATGTTTATTTTGATATCTTTAGTTACAGATCACCTCCAGTAGTATCAGCAGCAACGACAGCAGCAGCAGCATCCCTAGCAAACCCCTCAACAGCAACTGTTCCCTGCAAGTTATGTCAGCCCTCAGTGTTCTAAAGCTAGAGCTGGGTATTCCCTGTTTGTTTTTGCATCACAGCATTTGCTGATGTATCGATACAGAAGCATCTGTATACGGGCATCAGCAAGGAATACACAATGATATATTTATGTATCGATATTTTGAGAACAGACCTATTTAAATCCTTGTTCCATGTGCCCCTTTTATACTTTGAGCACCTGCCCTTCCAGTGGTCTCTGCAAGGCCCTGGTTAAAGGTTTCATTGACCATGAAGAAGTAACACTATTGAATGTCTATAGGCCACTGGGAAGTGACAAACTGTTGATTAAGAGGGTTTTTGATTTGATATCCATGGAAGCCTAAGGTGTGTTCATTTGTGGGGGAGACTGGAATGCTCAGCTGAACCCCTTGCTGGACTCCTCAAATAAAGTAAATTCTAACGCGTTGTATATTAAAAAAGTGTTCAAGGAAATGGGCATGATGGACATATGGAGAGAATTACATCCAGTTGATAAATGTTTTACTTTTCTCTCCCACACCCATCGTGTGTATTCAAGAATACTACTTCTTTATGTGGATAGACAGAGGATTCTAAAATACACCAGGGATATGTGACATTTCTGACCACGCAGGAGTGTATTTAACACTACATCCGGACCACAAGCCCAAAGAAACTTTATGGAGACTTAACACCAGCCTTATAAATGACCCTCAATGTCAAGAATATATTAAGAAAGAATTTGCGGACTATATGACTTGATGACAATGATAATGGAGGAGTATCTCCCAGCACACTGTGGGATGCTGCCAAGGCGGTCATTAGAGGCAAACTTAAAAAAGGGTAAAAGAGAAAAAACTTAAAGATTTGATTGAAAAATTAAAATTTTTGGAGAATAAACAAATGGCATTTGTAAATGTAAATGCTCCGTATTTGTATAGCGCCTTTCTAGTCTTTTCAACCACTCAAAGCGCTTTTACACTACATCTGCATTCACCAGTCATACACATTCATACACTGTGCTCAAACAGAAACTAACATTCACACTCATTCATACACTGCTGGAACAGCCGCCAGGGGCAATTCGGGGTTCAGTATCTTGCCCAAGGACACTTCGACACGCAACCAGGGGGAGCCAGGGATTGAACCCGCCGACCTTCCGATTAACAGCCAACCCGCTCTACCTCAGCCACAGCCGCACAACAATGAAATCTTAAAACTAGATTCTGGACACGAAACAAACTCTAAATTCTCTATATGAAAATAAAATCAAAAAGAGAGCTAAACTAATTGAAACCAGGGAACGTTTTAACTATGTTCTTGGGGGGGGGGGGGGTGACTCTTACAAACCCTAATTTAAGCCTGCTTAAAATACTGTCTTTGCTCAATGTTTTTGGCTCATCCTCTGGCTACAAATTAAACCTAGAGAAAACTCAGACTCACATTTAACTATGACCCACAGGAAAACGTTTGCAGAATCTCTAAATTTGTGGTTGCATTATGTTACAGTCGACAGTAAAGCATATGATAAGTTAGAGTAAACACAGTAATAAGTTAGTTTCAGCTCCATTTTATTGGGTTGCAAGGTTGCAACATGATTTAATTGTTTTCCTGTGTTAATACTAGGGATGCGACGCTCGATACTGACGTGTCGACGCTGTGTTGAGATCCCGAAGCACAGACATTTAGAAACACTGCTCCAAAGCATGGTTCAAAACTTCAATGTCACATGACCATAGTGAAGCGAGGCTTCGGTGCGTTTCACCCCTGTTTTGACAGGTGGCACACCTGCCGCTTCTACGCTTGATTCACAGTGTTTGGAACAAACAGCACATCAGCCTCTAACTCATTTGGCAGATCCAAGGACACACAATCATTTGATTTATTGGAGCACCCTACTGTAATATATCCGCAGCTGTAGGCCTATGATGGCAAAAAAATATTTATCTTTGACAGTAACAAATGTTCCATGTGACCAAACTTTTCCAAGGCTTGTGATGTCAATTATGAAAAAAAAACAGACTCAGCCCCAAAACAGATGAATATTTCTGAATACAATTCTTGACATATAACAAATGTGAGACATTGTTCCACTTTTCATTAATCATTCTTGAAATAACTTCAACTTTACTTTTGATGATTGATTTGATTTTTTTTAATCCATTACACCTCATCACTGCCAGCACTCATTATTATTAATTATTATTACACTAGGGCCTATATCTACACCTTTGTTAATAAGCTACTGTATAATATTGTAGATATCCACATTTATTATCATTTATTATTAGGCTATATTCTTAGATTTGTATACTTTATTATATTCTCTACTCACTAATTTCAACTACCTATTATTTCTATTCCTTTTATGTCTTGCAAGTATCTGCAACAAAGACTTCACCGTCGGAGATCAAGAAAGTATTCCGATTCAGAATATGACCAAGTTGTCTCTATGAGGTAGTGGTTAAGACATATGCTTTTGGTGTGAGAGACCTGGGTTTGATTCCCACTGATACATGTGTCCCTAAGCAATACACTTTACCCCTAGTTCCTCCCAAAGTGCATCCTCTGACATAGCAATTGGGATTTTCTTTTAAGAAAAGCGTCGGCTAAATGAGTGACTACTTATGAAACAACACACAGATGTGTTTTATTTAAACACACTTTTATTGCAATCCCCATCTGCTGTCTCTGACAATCTGAAAGCGTTTGTGTGTTTGGTGTATGGTGATTTCTCCGAAATCCTGTTGGTCATGTATTGATAAGGCGTTTAGAATTGTAAACACTGGTCAGTCATTGTTTCAATGAAACTCCTACCAAGATGTGTCGATATCAAAAATGACCAGTAGGTGTCACCGTGGAGACGGGTGTCGAAGTGTGTGGAAGCCTAGACACAATTCCGGCACAATTGCTTCAGACGTTTCAATGTTTCACAAAGCCTCGCTATGCCCATCACTAGTTAATACTTACAATTGTTTGTTCCTTTGTTCAGTTCCACCATGCAGGACAATTGTTTGGGGAGGGGCCAGCCTAAGCATTTCCTGTTTTATAGGAATAGGGTGGTCATGGATGACATCACCGGGCCAAACCAAGTAGAAGTTTTTCTTTCTTTATATGAATGTTTCTTTTGGTTGTTCTTGGTTATAAATAAATGTGTGAATAACCCTGACATGTTTTCTAGTTAGTGGGAGCGGAGTGAACTGGTAACTAAGTTCCAAATGTTAAGCGATTTCTAGGTATTAATGTTATGGGGTAGATCAACCTGCATCAGAATGGGATGGGCTGAAGCAGTTTGGGTGTGAATTGACCATCCTATATAAACAGTGGGATTTGTGCGCCCAAGGGGGAAAGAGGTGAGTGAGGCTGTGCTGCTGCGAACATGTGCCTTTTGTTAGCGTTGCTACAAGTTTAATGTGTTATTTTTCTTCCATTCTTTTTGTTTGTTTGATTGGTGAATTATCCGCGTACTGCAGACCACTGTAAATAAAATAATCACCTCTGCAAACATACGATGTTTGAGTCTGCCTACCTACCACCTTCCTAGCTACTCTGGCCAGACTACACCACAGAATGGAATAGAAATACTTCAGTCTTTATTTGGGGAAAACAAAGGCCACGGATTAGATTTCAGACATTACAGCTGCCCAAAGACAAAGGCGGAAGGGCCCTACCCTGTTTGGAAGACTACTACAAAACAACAGCTACGCCTTTTGGCTTGTTGGTATGATCCTACATATGAGGCAAAATGGAAGTGCTTAGAACAAAGTCAAATAAACATACCTCTCCAATCTATTATAAGAGGAAATGTCCTTCAAAATAAATACCTAGACAAAGTGACCAACTGGATTGCAGTTCCCTAAACATCTGGCATAATGAATTTAAAGACCCAGAACTTGAAAGAAACGCACAAATATTATGCTGGGTGGCACACGACACAGACTTCAGAACAGCCAATTTGGACAGTAGGTTTAAACAATGGACAAATATGGGTATCACATCTTAGTGTAAAATATCCATGGATAAAGGTTTAAATACATTTCAACAACTCACTGAGACCTATAACTTAGAGAAACAGGATTTTTTCAGACATCTTCAAGTGAGACACTACTTTGACAAAAAATATTAAAAGTACTGGAGACATAGGAATGAGTCTGATCAAGATATTCATTGAGGCATACAGTATAATGGTAATTTTAACAGAAAATTGATTTCCAGGATTTATTCATATTTACAATTGGAAAGAGGTCTTTCAACAATGTATGTTAAATCAAAATGGGAAAAAGAAGTTAACATAAAATTAAGTGAAGATGACTGGTTAAACATATGTAAGACGCTGACGGCAGAACCAGGGCCGACAGTCCCCAGCCCAGAGTGCAGGCAGAGCCAGCGGCCCCCGAGCCCCATGAACCCGAGGCCAGTCCCGTCCCTGGACGGGAGCCCAGCCCCCCCAGGCAGCCACACCCAAGAGAGGGCCAAAACCCACCCCAACAACACCGGCCATGTGCCCCCGGGACTACCGAATGCCCCCACTGTGAGAGAGCCGGCAGGGGTAAGCAACGGGAGCCCCACCCCTGCCAAAGAGGGCCCCTGCAAGGAGAGGAGACAATGGGCGCCCAGGGACACGCCACCTGTCCCAGACATGAGCAAAAGTCACGAGCCGGCGCCAACCACCAACCCACTCCCCCACCCCCCACAGTCGGGGAGACCACAGAACCCCACCTATGGACACACCGTGACCCACACCGCACGTCCACCACCAGACAGAAACACGCAAACAACCCTCCCACCAACCTCCACTGCAATGCCCTGGCGCCAGCCCCCTCCCACACACCCGGCCCCAGACACAGGAACCACAGGAAGCCAGTCGAGTGCCACCCCACCCGCACAGCACGCGAGCCAAAATCACCACCCCTACACCAACGACTGCGACACCCAAGCAGAGTGGCCACCCACTCCCCAGTGGTGGTGCGCCGTACACAGGGCAAACACTGGTCCCCCCGTCACGCACACACCCCAGACAGCCCATGCGCCGCAACTCCTGCAAACACTTTGCCATCAATCAACATTCAAACAATCGATCCCCTGACACCCATCAATCAATCATGATCATTTTTCTATTTTCTGGGCGTGCTCTTTTTTATATTTTATATTTCTTCATACTTGTCATATGTGGTAATGGTGATTAGATCAGTCACCAGCCACAGGCTTGATTTTAACTTTGGTGTTTTGTATTTGGGAAACTTACCAAGTGAGCTGAAAAAGCAGGATAGGTATTTACTACAAATACTCCCTGAGACATGCTTTAAGAAGATGTGAAAAATACTGGAAAAACTGGCAACCTTATCTAAAGTAAACTGATTTCATTGCTGTGTATCGGTTTGGAGAGTTTGGTTCTATATCTTTCTGTACGAAGACGGATAGACCAGACTCTTGGGAAGATAAACAAAAAAAATTGTTTGGCTTTGGTGGCATGTACAGCCGATTTATTAGTGAGAATTACTACCTCGTGAAGGAGCGTTTCTATTTTATTTTCTAGCATTTACTGTACTGGTTTAGCGCCCCAGGAAACTCACAGACCAATTGCATGTGTTCCAATTGTCTCATGTGATGATGCTCAGCCAATCAAATCTGTGCATTCTGATAAGCATTGCCAGTGCCATTAATGGCCATGAACATTGCAAGTCGAGTCCGCGAGTGAGATACACAGAGGAAGAGAGGAGATGAAAGAGAAAAGATACTTGACATGTCTTTTAACCAAGAATGTACACATTCTCACATGTAAATTCTTCCCACGGGCAGTTCAAAATCTGAATATCTCACATAGCTCCAATCCTAGCCACAGCTCATGTTTCTCACTGAACAAGAGGAAGTAGGGAAGTTGTAGCTATATAAGAGGGAATGAAAGAGAAGAGGAGGCATTACAGCTGTTCATTTGTTAAGATGTGTTGAGTGTTAATTATAAAATAGCTTGAGACAGAACTTCAATCGCTCAAAGCTACTTTAATTTTATTTTTTCTGAAATTGAACAACAAATAAAATTTATTTATTTTAAGATGCACATCTACAAAAACTTTTTTAATTGCAGCCTTTAGTTTCCTTAAATTTAGAATTTATTGTAAAAGTAGTTATTATTTATTATCCCTTCAGTTTTATTGTTGAAATAGTATCTGAGTTGACCTTTATATACAGTATATGGATTTGACAGTCAGTTGTTGACTAAAAACATATGTTGATACAACTAGGCTATACGTTATGGTAGGCTACTGAATGATAATGCAAGTTTATGGCCCTTATGCTTCGTGAAATTTTCTCTCACTGGACCTTTGAATTTTAATTTAATACCCCTGCTATAGAATCTTTGACCCCGAGGGTCAACCAAGGGCACGAGGGACCGACAGACTCCCATACTTCAATCTATCTCAGTCTTGCGTTCCCCCCTTATTAGGGCCCGAGCACAAAAGTGCCAGGGCACCAACGGTGTTCTTGGCACCAAGTGCAACGAACCTATTGTTTTTGCTCAGATTATTATTAGGGGTCCAAGCCCGAGAAGGGCAAGGGAACCTGTGAATGCAAGGCATCGCGGTTCCCAGGCCCAGCAGGGATGAGAACCCTATTGGAATCGTTGTTGTTTTTATTATTATTATTCTTATTCTTCCGTGCATAAATGTCTTACTGCGGCCAAGACGGTAAGACACAAAACTGACAGGGTAGGTCCAAACCACTACAATTCTACACCTTTAAGGGGCGCTATAATCAAGGTAATTGCGTTTGGGCTTGGAACTCCCGCTAATGAAGGCGCATATCAAAAACCTTATATCCACACGTTCGGGGGATCAAGCTGAATCCCCTGGTATAGGCCACGCCCATTTCCATCTATAATTTTTTTTTTTGCAAAATTGCGAAAACTGCAAAACCTATTTTAATTTACTCCTCCGAAACCGCAAGTCTGATCAAAACCAAACTTGGCACGGACCATCTCTGGATGAAGCTGATAGAGGCGTGTGCTCCCCAGATCAAACGCATAAAACGGTTCTAATTATAAGCTAACAAATGTTAAAAAACAGGAAGTGATGGAAGATTGGAAGATACTTTGGTGCAACTAGCTACGGTGGCCCGTAGGTTTCAGGCCTAATACAAACGTCACAACATGAACACAAAAGCCACAACACGAATACAAAAAGCCACAACGCAAATACAAAAGGCCACAACGGAAGTTGACAACGAAAGAGATGCTTAGTAACAGTGCTCTCCACAGAACACAGCTACACAGTATTACAGCGGCAGTGTAGCTGTCCCACATTCAAGAGGTCGGGGTTCAAATTGTAGAAAGAACACTCTTCTTCAGGTGACTTTTTCCCGCATAATAGTGTCTGCCAAATTAGTAAATGTAGGCCTATGTGGAAGAAGAACTTCTTACCCGTTTGATAAATAAGTAATACTTTGTTCTGATCAAATAATATACAGCGGGATATTTGTGTGAATTAAACAGCTAGGCTTTTTAACAACAGAAAAAGGGCAGCGGGTGCTGTAACATGGATCGGAAGTGCCCAACATTTGCAGTTTGTGTTCATATCTTTCGTTTTCTTAAGTTGAGAGGTGATCCAAATAAATGTAACTGCTTTTGCGACGTCTCTAAGGGGGAGTCGCGGCGTGAGCCGTTGTGTTGGTCTGTTGTTTTTGCCCTCCAGGTAGCCTACCGCGAATGTCACGTGACTGAAAACTATGAAATGACAGGGAGGAACACTTCTAACTATTGTTACAATATGACAACATAAAATACACCAGGTTAGTGCTGAATGCAAAAGATGCTCTTTATGTTATACAGCCTAATAATTGGACGTCAGCAGCTGTTTGCACTGTTTTGTCACGCGCTTGGACCCCGCTTACAACTGCTTGCAGTTCTAGTTATTATTATTATTATTATTATTATTATTATTATCTTGGGTTGATTAAACTTGTCTAAATTGCAGGCATGATCACTCAATCATGACTAGACCATGTGACACACAGCTGGAAAACAATAAAATAGGTTTAAGGTGTAATATTTACAAAATATAGATATACTGTATAGGATATAAGAAGAAGAAATAAACGGAAAGCCTAAAACCAAGCGTCTTTGATATGAGCATTTTAATTTCACTCAAACATTTAGCCTAATAAATCCCAAGACACCATGATCATATTCTGGGTTATTCAATAACGAATTCACAATCAGAATCAATAACTCTAAATGCAGAGAATATCAGCATTGTGCCAGTAGAAATGATCTTTCATCTCTGAGCAGCACATCCAGTAACCTATAAATATTAATGTGCGGATGTTTGTTAAACAGGTACCAGCTACAGCTACACAGCAAAATGTTAAATTAACACTGACAGTGTTAAATAGAAAACTACAATAGTGTCTTTTTTTGAACACTCTCTTGAAACACTTTTGAATTTTTTAAACACTCAGAGTTATTTCAATACTGTAGGGAGTTAAAAACTAACACTGAGTAGTGTTGATAGTACTCTACACTGGTGTCAGTGTCACACTTGATTCCAATACACTAACGCAATCAACTCTTGAGAATGTAGAATGTTGTGGACACCCTATGCCCGCTCCACCCACTGTACCCATCCCACATACAGTCCCCTCCAAAAGTATTGGAACGGTAAGGCAAATTCCTTTGTTTTTGTTGTTCACTGAAGAAATTTGGGTTTAAGATCAAAAGATGAGTATGAGACAAGAGTTCAGAATTTCAGCTTTTATTTCCTGGTATTCACATCTAGATGTGTTAAACAACTCAGGACATTTCACCGTTTGTATTAGACCACAGCATTCTTAGGTGAGCAATCTTAAAGTAAATAACATTTAATATTTGGTGGCATAACCCTTGCTTGCAATAACTGCCTCAAGCCTGCGACCCATCGACATCACCAAACTGTTGCATTCTTCATTTGTGATGCTATTCCAGGCTTTTACCGCAGCTTCTTTCAGTTCTTGTTTGTTTCGGGGTGTTTCTACCCTCAGTCTCCTCTTAAGGAGGTGAAATGCAGCTCTGTTGGGTTAAGATCAGGTGATTGACTTGGCCAGTCTAAAACCTTCCACAGTCCTTTGTTTAGTTGGCAGTGTGCTTTGGGTCATTGTCCTGCTGCATGATAAACTTCCTCCCCATTAGTTTCAATGCATTTATCCGTAAATTGGCAGACAAAATGTTTCTGTTCACTTCAGAATTCATTCTGCTGCTACCATCATCAGTTCCATCATCAATAAATATTAATGAGCCTGTTCCAGAAGCAGCCATGCACGCCCAAGCCATGACATTACCTCCACCATGCTTCACAGATGAGCTTGTATGCTTCGGATCATAAGCAGTTCCTTTCTTTCTCCACACTTTGGCCTTTCCATCACTTTGCTAGAGATTAATCTTGGTCTCATCAGTCCATAAGATTGTGTTCCAGAACTTTTGTGGCTCATCTCTGTACCTCTTTGCAAATTTCAGTCTGGCCTTCCGATTCTTCCTGCTGATGACTGGTTTGCATCTTCTGGTGTGGCCTCTATATTTCTGCTCTCTGAGTCTTCTTCCAACAGTGGATTATGATACCTTCACCCTGCACTGTGGAGGTCGTTGGTGTCACTTCCTGATGTTTTGGGGGTTTTCTTCACAACTCTCACAATATGTCATCAACTATTTGGCCGACCTGTTGGACGTCTGTTGCTCAGTACACCAGTAGTTTCTTTCTTTTTCAGGACATTCAAAATTGTTGTGCTTGCTATGCCCAATGTTTGTCCAACGATTTTCCTTCTTTTCTCAGCTTGGCAATGGCTTGCTTTTCTCCCACAGACAGCTCTCTGGTCTTCATGTTGGTTTATCCTCTTTAACAGGAAATGCAGTCTTTATAGGTTTGACTACAGTGTAGTTGTCTGAAGTATGGAACAGCTGGAGGGAATTGAGCAGACAGGTTCTTTAGACACCAAATTTTGAGGCCAAAGCTGGATTTTGCTGAATGGCACTACTGTGTTATGAATGAAGGTCTTTAAACATGAGTTAAACATGGATGATCTTCACTAAAAACTGACTGCAACTTTGTTTTATCACTTAAA